TAGTGGGTGTGCAGTGCCCTGCAGTCGCAGTGAGGTTGGCCTTTGCCTGGTGCCGACGCCTAGTGCCCAAGCTCATCGGCGAGTATTTGGAGAGCCTGTCCTGCCCCTTCTCCACACTCAGTCCCCTCTGGGCCCCAGAGGCGACAGCTATAGGTCTTAGAGCCAGGGGAACTGCTCTCAGGCTGGAGCCACTGCTGCTACTGAAGCAGAGACCTGGAGTGACCTCTCCAGGCTGGGAGCCCCAGAGGTTTCTCTGTTCTCCGATGGGGGAGCGCAGGTCCCTGTGAGGTCCTGGGCTCTGCTAGGCCCCCAGTCCGGACCAACTAGGCTACCTGCCCCTACCACACTGTTGTGCCTAGGCTCGGGTCTAGCTTCTGGGGCTATGGAGCCTGCCACCTTTCGGAGCCAACCAAATGGAAACAACAGCCAGCACGCAATGGGGCGGCTGCTGTGAGCCCGGCACTGTCCGAGCACGTCACGGGCATGACCTCCCGGTGCCCACTGCCACCTTCCAGGGAGACGCATTGTGACCCATTGCACATGTCAGAAGGAGGCCAGAGCCCTAAACGACTTGTCCAAACTCCTGCCATTTGTGGCATTAGCGTGGAGTCTCGGTCTGAACCCAGGTTTTTCCAACTCCAGACTCCTGGCTCCTTCCCAACAAGCACCACCATCATCCTCCTTCCACAAGGACACCCGTGGAGGTTCCTGTCGCAGAGCCCGGCATGTCTGTTGCCACCCACCCAGGAAACGTCCTCTAGCTTTTTTTTAGATCTCTCCTGACCTCTGCAAACTCATGTCCCCAAAGGTCACTGGTCCCCTCTATTCAGAATCAAATAAACAATGAACCCAGACAGCTAGAGGCAAGGGCATCGGGGTCAGCACTCTGACCCCCACCCAGCAGGAAGACAAAGACCCCTTTGTCTCTTACCTCTGTGTCTACCGAGGCCGGAGGCCGAGTGGAGGACCTGGACAGTACGTACCCCCGCCTCTCCTGCCGGAGCAGTGTCAGAAAAGGCCATCCCCGCTCTCACAACAGAACACCCAAAACATACAGGTTTCAACAGAAGATCCCTCATCGTATCAAGAACTGGGATAATCGCAAACTGCATGAAAACAACCAATTAATAAATGCCAACGCCAAGGTGACAGAGATGTTAGAATGATCTGACAAATATCTTAAAGCAACCATCATAAAAATGCTCCAGAGAACAATGAGCAATACGCTTGAAACAAATGAAAAAATTAGAAGTCGCAGGCAAGAAAGATAAAATAGAAGGAACCACAGGGAAATTTTAGAACTAAAAAATACGGTGCCCAAAACAACGACCACAACCACAACCCGCCTCCATGGAGGCGCCAAACAGCAGAGTAGAAAGGATGCAGTGAACATGGAGATGGGGCGATATTACATATCCAGGCTGCATGATGAGAGGAGAAGAAAACGCACTGGATACAGTAGACAGAGCCTTAGGGACCTGTGGGGTGACAATACAAGATCTAACTTCTGTGACACTAGAGTTCTGGAAGGAGAGGAAAAGGGGGCAGAACTGGAAAAGTACTCGATTAAATAATGGCTTGAAACTTCCCAAAGTTGGCAAAAAACTCGAGCACAGATTTAAGAAGCTGAGCAAACTTCAAACAGACTAAACCCAAAGAAATATATATCAAGACACACAGCACTGTCAGATTTCTGAAAAACAAAAAGAAAAAATATATGTGTATTGAAAATGGAGAGAAACGACAATTTACCTAACAGTTATAATGACGGAAAAGTTTTAATAGGAACCGTGGAGGCCAGTATACTCTCAAGTGCTGAAAAAAAAAATAAAGACATTCTCAGAAAAAGAAAAACTAAGAGTGTTTGCCACCACCAGACATACTACGTAAGAATGGTTAAAAGTTTTCTAAACAGAAAAGAAGCAGTAATAGAGAGACGCCCGGAACATCGTTAGGGAGTACAGAAAACAACGAGCAAAAACACCGATAAAGATAGCAGTCATTCCTTTTCCTCTTGAGTTTTCTAAACCATGTTGACGGTTGAGGTAAAAACTCTGACGCTGTTTAATGTGATTCTAAATGTATGTAGAAGAATATTTAAGACAATTATATTATAAACAGGTAGGGTAACGGGAGGTAGAGAGAGGTGAGCATTCCTCACTTCACTCAGACTTGTGAAACGGTACATTAGTAAACTGTGTTGAGTCTCGTTTGATACAGGAAGATCATTAGATAAAATCCAACAAATAGTTCTGATAACTCTCAGCAAACTAAGAATAGAGAGGCAGTCCGTCACCCTAGAAGGAACATGTGCTGAAAACATGCAGCCAGCATCGTCCTCAGTGGCAGGAGATCGACATGTCCCTCGCAGGGTGACAGACCCACATGGGTCCTCCTGGACATTGTACTAAAGACCCTACCCAGTGCAGCATGGCCAGCAATAGAAATAAGAGAGACCCAGCTTGGAAATGCATAGGTAAAGCTGTTCTTTCTGCAGAAAACACGAGGGACTCTGTGGAAAACCTTGCAGAACCAAAAGCTACTAGAGCTGAAAAAATGAGTTCAGTAAAGATTCGGGAAACAAGGTTAATGTGCAAAAGTCAACTGTATTTCAGTCTGCTTGAGATGAACGACTGGCAACAGAAGTTTTAAAAACGCCATTTACAATAGTGTGAAAAGGTGTAAAAAAATTAGAGTGAAACTGACAAAAGATGGACAAGATCTAGACATTGAAAATCATAAAACATTGCTGAGAGAAATGAAAGAGAGCCTGACTGGATACCATGTTTACGAGTCGGAAGGCCCAGCGTATGGTCAAGGTGTGCATTCTCACCACATGGATCTATAGAGTCCTTGCAATTCTGATCAACATCTCAGCAGGTTGTTTTTTTTCTTCTCTTTCTTTCTTTCTTTTTTTTTTGTAGAAATTGAGAAACCGATCCTAAAACTCCCATGGAAATGAAAAGGACTTAAGATAATCAAAACAACTTGGCAAACGAAGAACAGAGTTGAAGGAAGGACATTGCTTGATTTCAAGACTTATGATAAAGTTACAACAATCAAGGGAGTAAAGATAAGACCAATGTCAATGGAACTGCAGAATCGAGAGTCCAAAGAGAGACCACACGAATAGGGTCAACTGGTTTTCAACAAAGGTGCAAAGCAAAGCAGGGGAGAAATGACCATCTTTCAAACAATGGCAAGGATGCTGGGATATCAGCAGGCAAGACAGGGAACTTCGAGCCACATCATATACAAAACTGAACTCAAATGAGATCACCATAGATTGAAATACCTACAGCTTCTAGAAGAAAACAGAAGAGAATCTTTATGACCTTGGTTTAGGCAAAGATTTTGTAGATGTAACACCAAAAGCATAACCCATAAAAAAAAAAAAAGATATATTGGAGTCTTTCAAAATTAAAAACAAAAACCACTGTTAAGAAAATGAAAACACAAGCTATAAACATTTGCAAATCATACATTTAATCAGGGACTTGTATCCACAATACATGAAGAACCCCGCAAACTCAGCTTAAGAAACCAATCCCAGGAGTCAGTTTTAATCTTCCCTGCTCAGTTTCCTCTTTACAGGGCCATTGTATAGCCACCTTTCCAGCACCTGAAAGCTTTCCACGGAAGCAATCTAGAGTCGATCTAGCTTGGAGACCATTTTTCTGGTGTTTTCTTTGAGGCACCAGACCAGGAAGTTAGCATGGTGTAGTGGAGACTGCCCAGTCCTTTTAGGTTTGCTTGTTCGCTGGTTTGAGGTGTCTTGCTTGAAAGGTGGCATCGTGCCCAACTAAACGAAAAGAGAGGCCGATGGAATGCCCTGCCTCTCAGAAACCTCCTGTGGACAGATTTTTGAGGACTGAACACAGCCCCAGGGTGCTTGCATCTGAGCCCAGTTCTGTCCAAGTCAGAGGGGGCCAGCAGGAGGGACTTGCACCCAGAACCTGCGGTTTTCCTGCCTCTGGAAGTTCTCCCTGCGGGGCTCAGGGCGAGGACTGACCCGAGAGGAGGCGCTTTCCCCCAGAGCATCTTCCCAGGCCTGCCTGGGGAGCAGCTCAACTGAGAAACCACAGCTGCCAGGTGTGTACGCAGTCCCGGCCGCCCGGCGCTGAGGTGGGCGCCCCTTGTGGTGACCGCCTGCGCACTCCTGAAGCCCAGACGCCCACGAAATCAGGCTAACAGGTCCTCCCTACCGCCTTATGTTTTTCTCATTTCAGTCCCTCTGAAATGACCAGCGAACACTCCTTGGAGATAAAATCAACCAACCGGAGAAGACGTGCCCCGCCGTTTTTGTTTTTGTTTTTGTTTTTGTTTTTGTTTGGTGCGGAAACGGAGCTTTGGGTCTGGAAGCCCCTGGACGGCCGGAGTCTGCAGTGCTGGGAACGCTGGGGTCTGCCCACTGAGGCACCGGCAGGTGGCCGGCCACGCCTGGCTTCTCTGAGTGCTCCTGGCTCTGTGGGACAGACACAACCGCAGCCCCAACCTGGCTGCCAGATGCGCTGCAGAGCTGCACCCGGAGGGGCTCAGGAGACTCACGCCAGGTTGTTCTCAGCCCTTGTCCAATTTCACTTATTAAAAAACTCTCAGAAGGTTCACATGCCATCTGGGGACAGAAAGGGTGTGCGAGGATTCAGAGATGGAGCAATCCATCAGTAAAAACAGAGCCATTACACAGTCCCGCACGGGGTAGGGTGTTTTGCTTTTCCTCGGCAGTGAGTCGTGACTTAGGTGTCGATTAAAACGCACCCTATGAAGTGTATGGATTTCTGTGGACTGCTCCCCAAATGTTGCTGTCTTGCCTCTGTGTCACTGCCTGGGGAAGGACCGAGGCCCTGGCGCTCTCTGCACCCCTCCTTCCTGCTGGGATACCCTGTCCCCTGTTCTGTCCCCTAAGCCCAGCACAGGTCTGGGAACAGGGATGCCCTCATGCACCTCCACAGGAGCCCCCAGCTCTTCATCTTTGAAGTGGGTCGGTGGTGGTCTCTTACCGGTTGTAGTCTCCTTGCAAGGATCTAATTCACAAGGGACCACTGGTGTAGAGATAGTCCATCTCGGCCAGGTCCTTCCCTCTCCTGCCTCCTGCTTTGCCCACCTGTGAAATATAGAGAAGGGTGCACTTTATCAGCAATGTTTCAAGTATTTTACCTAAAAAACACTGGAGTCGTCATTACAAAAGATGACTAGTTCTGGAAGATGGGTCCTTGAGATTTTGTTAATTATTCTCTGTAGTTTTCTGTATCTTTCAAAGTCTCGTGTTCCAATAAAATTTTTTTTTTTTAAATTCACATATGAAATAGTGTCCTCTCTTGCTGGACTGCAGGAAGGACAGGCGTCACTGTAACTCATCTCGGCTCTGTCCTTGCCCCCCGCCCCACTGTCCAGGCAGCCGCTGGCTTGGTGGCATAGGAGTTTTCTAGTTCTGCGCAGGTGAGTCGGGCTGATGCCACTGACACTTCTGATTTCATTTCACTCACAGTCCGCCCCTGGACAGTACTGCCGGTACCAAACAGAAACATACACCTGTACCCAGAGACACCCCTGCCTGTGGGCATCAGAAGTTTGCTTAAGGGCACTAAAATCCCAAACTTTCTTGGGCTTAATGAAACCACGTTGCTAGAAAAAGCTCCCATTTGACATCCCCACCACTCTGGCTTAAAAACAGCCCCACTAAATTAAGTAACAACAACAAGACTTGTTCCCCACACCGTGTTGCTGTGCTCTTCACAGCACTTTGCAGCCTGAAACAATTTCACGCTTGAGTTGTAACTTATGAAAATAGGCGCACAGGGGGAAATGCGAGCAGACCCTCGGCTGCACTATTAGTCACCGCCACAGCTGAATGCGTTCCCGCACAGAGGCGTTATCCTGCCTGAGTATCTCGGTTTTGAACAAAATGCAGATCGCTAATGGGTTATGCCTCATGTAGCTTTCTGTAACCATCACATCGCCGTTCTCTGTGATTCATCCTGTTTTTCATTAAGAGTGTGTGTATCAGACGGGCAGGCACCCAAGTGTGCTCACGCACACACATCTTTTAAGTTCCATCTTGTTTGTGGCTGAAAAGAAGGGCCGTGGAGCTGTCGGTCATTTGGGGGAAGCCCCACTGAGTATCGATGAAGAGCATCTCCGGACCTCAGAGTGGTGAGTGGAAGTGAGTGTGGATTCTGGAGCGCCAGTGCATCGGGGCGGCACTCTGGAGCGAACGGATGGAGGAGGTGGAGGCAAGAGGAAGGGCTACCGCTGGGCAGAGGCACCGGGCTCATTTGCAGAGCGCTCTCAGGTCCCCTGGACGACGACGAGATTCCAGCCACAGCCCCCATTAGAGGTGTCAGGCCTGGGCTCAGAGGTGTGGCCCCAAACCAGCGGGGCTACAAATGTGATTAGTGAATGAAGCTAAGTGAATAAAGGAGTCAAGATAAAACTCAAGGCTTTTGAGTGTTAACGTATTAAAAAAAAAAAAAGATAACAAAAATAGCAGGTGAGAAAAGAATCAGGAGAAAGAAATAGGGAGGGGCCATGAGAAGCTTGGAGAACATGCCGGCTTTCGCGAACAATGACGAACCACTAGGATGGCCCGTGTGGGGCTGGGCTGGAAGCAGGCCCTAGAGCTGGGTCCTCCTCACAGCTCAGCCTGCGCAGAAGCCCTGGGCCTCTTCCCTGAGTAGGATAATGGGGTTGTCCCCAGACACCGCCTGGCCAGGAGGGTCATAACTGGGAACCAAATGGGCTCTTTTAACCCCTTTGAAGTGGTAACGAATGCTTGGATCGCCTTCTTTCCTCCTCATTAGGACAAATGCGGCCAGCCCACTCTGCCCTGGGGTCTGGTGTCGCCGCTTCTTGCTCAGAGGAGCCCAAGCACGGCCAAGAGTTTTGTCCTGTCTGGCGGCAGAAACGCCTGCCTTGTAAAGGCTGCTCTACCTTGGTTCCCTCTAGCACTCGGATCCCTGGGCATGTCCCCAGGGCCCTGCTCCCATGAAAACACAGAGGTGCTTGCGCTAACCCTCAGCCAGAATGTTCTGTTAGGGCTAAGCCATACAGACCTGCAAGGCTTCCTGGATGCTGTGCCCAGCACGAGTGATCAGCCTGGACAGAGTTCGGGGAGACAGAGCTGCTAAAAACCTGGAATCTTTATAGATCACAAAGCCCAACTCTGCCCTCACCCTCGTTTTACCGGTGACACACTGGGGCAAAGTGGTTGACCCTGGACCTCATGGCCAGGTGGCGTGGGTTCTCCCAGCTGGAACCACCTGCCATAAGCCCCCACTCAGCCCTCCACTGCCCCATGCCTCAGGCAGGCCCCGTCAGAGGGATGGAAGCCTGTAGGCAGGAGGAAGATGGAGCCTGTGGTCAGCGAGGCGGAACCTGGTGCCAACTGCAGGGGCGACGTAGGCCAGAGGGACAGCCCTGGACTCTAGAGGCACAGACTGAGAGAGGGATCCACGATTCCTAGAGGGCACACTCTCAGTGACAGCTGTAGGCTGCGATGGAGATCTGGGTGCTGGGCGAACCTATCAGGTGGGAAATGGGACTGTGGCAAGAGGAGAGTTCGCAAGAACAGAAATTCAGACCTGGGGCAGCAGCCTCTCTCATCCCATCCCCCGCCGGCTGTGACTTCCACGCTGACGAGCACAGCATTGGCCGAGTGTGTCCCCTCACCAACTATGAGCCCTTGCACCGTCTACAAGGCTTGCTTCACCACAAAACCTGCCCCCACTTTTATTTTTACTGTCCTCGTCATTGTAAGTAACAGTTCAAGAGAGCACATCAGCAGTGCCACATAACCCCCCCCCCCCCCCACCCCGAACTCTTCACCTTGAAACACTGAAACTGTCCCATTAAACGCTAACTCCCTATCCTCCTCTCCCAGCCCTGGCACCACCCTCCACTTCCATTTCGATAAGTTTGACTGCTCTAGGGACCTCCTATAAGTGGGGTCACACAGTGTTTGTCCTTTTGTGACCGGCTTCTCTCACTTAGCATGACATCCTCCAGGTTCATCCGTGGTATAGCATGTGTCACAGAGTCCTTCCTTTTTAAGGCCGAGTGCTATTCCACTGTGTGTCGTGTATACACATTCTGTTACCCAGTCATCTGTTGCTGAAGGACACTTGAGTTGTTTCCACGTTTTGGCCTTCATGAGTAAGCCTGTTGCAGAGGTGGGAGTGCAGATCTCTCTCTGAGATCTCACTTTTCATTCTTTGGGCTGTATTCTTAGAAGAGGAATTGCTGGGTCATGAGGCAATTCTATTTTTAATTTTTTTGAGGAACCTCTATACTGTTTTTCACAGCAGCTGCCCCATTTTACATTCCCGCCAAGAGTGCACGAGCGCTCCCTGTTCTCCACAACCTCTCCAGCACCTGTTTTCTGTTTGTTTCTTTTTTTCTTTCATAGCAGCCCTTCTACTGGGTGTGAGTTGGAGTCTCATCGTAGCTTTGATTTGCATCACCTTAACTCAGCGATGTTGAGCGTCTTTTCATACAGCCATTGGCCGTCTGTGTGCCATATTTGGAGAAATGTCTATTCTAGTCCTTTGCCTGCTCTTAAATCAGGTCGTTTGCTTTTGTTGTTGAGTTGTGGGAGTTTTTTATATCCTCGCTCCCTTTTTTTTTTTTCCAAAAAAACAAAAAACAAAACCCAAAAGGTTCAAAGAGGTCTAGAACTTACTTGCTGAAGTAAACACTGCCCATCAAAGGCACACTCTGTGTTCATGGCCTCGTGGGCCAAACCACGTTTGAAAACCAGCGGCGAACGTTGGCTGCAGAGGACTCAGAAGCGTGTAGACCCACGTTTGTGACAGATCCACCTTCTCCGCTGTTCCCCCTCCAAGGAAAGGCAGAGAGAAAAGGCTGCTCATGGAAAAATAAATCTAAACAGATCAGCGCCAGGCAACCATTTTCACATCTGTTCTTAACAGGTTTCAGCTGAAACTACTGAAAACCTACATAGATCTGTTTATGTGGAACCAGTTAAATATGATAAGATTACAGTTTGGAGGGGAACTGCGCTGGCGGAAGGGAAACGCGCCCTCCCCAGCGGCGACTGCGCATGCTCAGAGCGTTTTGCCACAGATGTTGCCGGGGAGTCGGATTTGCTGCGAGTTAAAAAAGATCTTCATTTTTCCATATTAGTTACAAACAAACTCAAGATGTCCCCCAGCCTTTTGGCAGCACGTGACTCCTGCCCGGCCTCGGATCTCCCAAGTCCTTTGTTATCAGGGAGAGGACCACAGCTGGGGAACCACCTGTTTTTTAGCGATTCTGTCTTCACCCCGCAACAAGCTGGTTAGGGGGAGACGGTAAGCAGGCTCCTTGTGCACAGAGTACCCAGGGGTCTGCTCTGTGCTCTGGGAGGCACTCGAGGCCAGCAGTGTCCCCTGAGGACGTGCAGCCCGCCAGAACAGAGGGCTGTTTCTGTAGCAGTGCCCATCTGTGAGCCTTCTACTGTACCAGCAGGCACCATCCAAGGTCACACTGTCATGCCGTTGTAAAGGTGGGAAGACTGAGGCTCTGTGGCGAGTTGCCAAGGGCCACTGGACAGCAAGGAATGAGGAGCTGTAAAGGAACAAGCTTTTTCCTCCTATCCGAATACCCTACAGGGCAAGGCCACAGCTCAGACACACAGCACCCAGCGGAAGGGAAAGGTGTGGGGGACAGTGAGTGGGCACAGCTAATAAGTGGCTTCTGGATCTTGGTGCTGGGGGCAGGAGGCAGACACTGTGCGCCCAGATCTTCTGGTTTTTGTAAAGGGAGCCAGAAAGCACTAGATTTTTACATGTTGGTTCAGGTATTAAAAGCAAACAAAATAAACAAACCCACAGTGAGACCCTTGGACATGGGAGGAAAGGGCCTGGCTTTCTCTCTAGGTGGGGACTTGGGGTTTGATTGTCAGGAGCCTTGTCTCCCCATGCAGCGGTCTCCGTCACACGAAACGGGCGCCACAGCTCAGTGCCTGGTCTTCATGGCTCTTCTACAGCTTCTTCCTGCAACTTCACAGACTCCCGGTCTTGTTTCCACCACCCTGCAAATGTGCATGCATCTATAAACATTTATCTAATAATTTATCCCCACAAAGTGACATCAGTCTATAAAACACACCACAGGACACAAGCATAGCAGTCACATGGCCTCAGAAACAATCAACCCAAATCAGCATCTGACAGCGTCGCTCTCCACCCCACACCCAACCTCACAAGTTGGTGAGGTTTTCATTCCTGCAGACCCCACGCTGTGAAAACGCACCTATGTCTGTTAGTTGGGAATCTTTTTTTTTTTTTTTTAATAAGCAGCCCAGTGGAAAACAATTGTGAATGGCAGCTTCATTACATGGGGATTTTTAGAACAAAGAGAATATTGCTCATACTCTGCGACCTGTTTGATGACACTGAATTTTAATTTAAAAATGTTAGCAAATTAAATTGATGACAAGGAAGTGTGACACTGGGGCTGTAAGAGAAATCAGGAAGGCAAACCATGGAGACAGACAGCTTCGGTGATCTCTTCACTGGTACTTCAACCTTATCTTCTCTCTCTTTTATTTTTAAATTTGCACTGTCCCATTTCAAATGAGTAGAGACTTGCTCCAAGCTGTACAGACCTCGAACGGGGATGCTGTGACACTGGGGGAGGGCACAGGAACGATCTTATTAGCCCTCTGGGGGTCTCAAATGCCATCATGTGTGAAGGATCAGCTGCTGTCTCAAAGACCCCCTCGAAGTGGCTACTGTCCCAGGCCACCTGGGAAGCCCTTTGAAAGGGTCTGTTTTTCTGAGCAGCAAACTTGGGGCTGTTCTCGAGTGATCATTTCAAGGTCACCTTTGTAGGCCTGAAAACTGAGAACAAACAATTTTGAAGCATAGACTCAAGGGTGTATGGGCCGGCACTGGACATCCAATCCAGCCAAGCTTCACTGGTTATAAGATTTTCTTTCTGAGATGACACCATAATTGAACAGAAGAATCCAAGTGTGTTAGTACGTCTGGTTGAAGAAAGGCTGTCTAAAGAAAGCCTGTCTGGACAGGCTCTTAGGACACAACGTGTCAGCTCACATCTATGAGAGTGGTCGGTTGTCCCCACCACAGAGGCCCGATTTCTGGCCATGGGGCCTGAGTGCAGGGAAGAGGCAGCTATCCCAGGTCTCAGGAGCCTGACTCACACCTGGACCAAGTTGCAGACAATAGGGTGCTGGGTGGCACCGGGTCCTGGAGCTGGTGGGACCAGCCTCACATATGAGACCTCAGGCATCTAGCCTTCCCTGAGAGCACAGCTTTGCAGGGATGGGCTGCAGTCTGGACCCCGAGCCAGAGAAACGCTGTGACTCTCCCCGAGGAAGAGACTGGAATGCAGTCAGAGTCCAGGCTCCAAACCAGGGCAGACCAGCAAGTGCCAAGGTCCTGAGGCTGGATGGGGCAGGGCAGAGGGATGGGCCACAGCTGTGACCTAGGGGAGGTGTTGGCTATATGCAGAGAGGAGGCTGAATTATAAGAGCAAGAGGAAGCCAAACAGGAGAGGGACATAGCTCAGTGAGCATTTCCCAAAGGTCCCTCTGCACCCTGAATAGAGTCTAGAGGGGTGGGAGACTGGGCTGTGGGCCACATGGGCGAAGAGGTGGGAGACCCAGGGGATGGACCTGTGATGCCTTTCACAGGTTTAGCCAGCAAGACGTGAGAGGGGCTGGGGAAGGAGGGTGGGGATGACCAGGATCAAGTCCTCTGACCCCTGTTGTCCTCAGGGGAAAGACTCAGTGATTCTCACCTATCAGAGCAGGTGTGAGGGCTAGAAATGGTGCAAGTACCTGGCTGTCAGCAGGCACCTTGGCTGTGAGAACATGTCTGCACTCCAGTTGCCCCTTGGTCCCCAGGGCCACGGGGGACAGGCGTGTGTCTCTGGCATGGTTCCTTCTGGTCCCTGTCCCCTGTAGGGTGGGAAGTAGGGCCTGGGCCAGACAGCGGCAGGCGGGTTGCTATTGTCCTTCCTGAGAAATCATGTGCAGCTCCACAGGTGGACAGTGACACCACGAACTTCCAAATTTTTAAAACAGGATGACAGTTATGAAAGGACATTCACGGGGGCTGATGTGCCCACCGTGGTGTCACTATCACGCAGCCCACACAGCCTGTGGTCAAATTACTCCCCAGAGTGCAGCAGGCGAGCTGACCCAGCCACTGCCCCTCAGGCTGGGACCCACCGGGACCCACCGTCCGCTCCCTGATGTGCATCCCCAGTCCCCGCACTCACGCTAGGGAAGCAGGACAGAGCAGGTGAAGGAAGCAGAGTCCCAGTGTCAGGCCAGACACGCACTTCTGAGCTCGCCTCCTGGGCCTTGCACACCTGCCACCCTGGTTCCCCACAGTCCTCACTAGGGGACATGTGCAGTTTGTCAGCAGGGGTAACCGGCCCTCAGATTGTGGGTTGTCTTGCTGGCAGGGAGGGCTGCCTAGAGGTGGAGGGTGTTGGAGCCATGTGAGGACAGGCTGCGGGCAGGTCCCAGCTCAGGACAGGTCCCAGGTCAGGACACACAACCAGCTCTCCCCAAGCCAGCTCAGTGTCCTCACCAAATAACAGCCAAGATGTCTCCTCCTCGTGAGGAGACCCATGCTTCTGCATTTTTCAGCACTTCTGTGATTTCCAAAAGAAGTGAGCAGTGACTCCTGAGCCCCTTCACACCTAGCCCTGATCCCAGGGACCCTGGCCCCAAGGAATGATATCACCCATTTCGGGAGGCCAGCCTACCCCACAAAGAGCTCCCTTCAGCCACCACCCTCTGTAGATACCAGCATGTGTGGCCAGCCTGCCTTGTGCTCCCAGCAGAGTGAATCGGGCCTCTGTTCACCCAGGAAGGGTCACTGTCACCCCGGGGCCACAGTGTGTGACTCTCTCCCGCCCTGGCCTGGCTCACCTCTGGACTCCAGCGGGCGGGCTCTAACTGGACGGTGGACTCCTGCCTCCTTGGGAACCTGGCCACCATGGCGGGCTTAGCTGTTCATCACATGTCTGGAATGCATAGGACACAAGCCTTTTGGAGAGCAGGTGCCTGCCACGGCTTCGGGCATGGTGGACTCTGGGCTGAGGCCCTTTGCTGCATGTTTTCAAGGGAGGGGACAGTTTTCCATACCTGAGTGGGCCCAGCTGATTGGTGCACAGCACTCCTACAGGAGTTCACATGTCCAGAGACCTTGGCAGTAATGCCGCCAGGCCCAGCGCTTGGCACACGGGGTGGCTGTGAAGCCACTTAGGAGAGACACAGGCATGGGGCTCGCCACCAAAGGGTTAGTGACCACAGACGAGGACAGCCATGCTCAGCTCCATGCAGTGAACAGTGAACAAAGCAGGCAAGAAAAAAGAAGACAGAGACAAGCCCACAAGTACAGTCCCCTCAGCCCCAGCAGTGCCCCCACCTCCCAAACACCCGGACCCTGGGACCACAGACTGGCACACAGCCAAATTTGGCACAGAGACCGCAGCAAAGAAAGAACACGCCAAGGCCCCATCTGGTCGGGCCTCCGTGCACAGTGCTTGCAGGGGAGAATCGGGAGGTGGCCACTGGGTCGCACACCCCCAGCTTGGCTTTCGTCCCAGGCCTTTGCTGGCCCGGCCCAGGCAGAAGGTCAGCACCCTGTCCCGCAGGTGGGGACAGATAGAAGAAACCAGAGGGTGTAATGGGAGGCAGGAAACCTTTCTTTCAAAAGCTGACCCACCTCTAGAGAGGAAACATGTGAGGACTTTGCTCTGGACAGTACTCTGTTTTCCCAGGGCAGCAGGGAGAGCCTGACGGCCAGGGTAAACAGGGCAACACGCACGTGTGCTTGCAAGGCTGCTGGCAGGCGGGGCAGGAGGGGAAGTTTGCAAAGACCGCTTCCTACACTCTGCTCCAGCTAGGAGTGAGCTGTCAATCCTGCAGGCTGGAGGCGCTCCAGAAAACTCCAGTGGAAAGAGAGGTGGCCGCAAGGGAGAAACCTAAGCCACAGGTGTAGACTGGCTCACCTGGCCCGAACCCAGTCCAAAAGGCTGCCCCACAACTCACAAGTCGGAGACAGACCTAGACTTCTGAAATGCAACCCGGGTGGGTTTCAGCCTCTGCTTTGAGCAGCAGGACAGGCAGGTGGGCGGCAGGTGAACAGCAGTGAGGCCTGTGCTTGGAGCAGGTGGGGGAGGGCCAGATGTGTTTTAGTCATTAGATACCATCCCTGCCAGCAAGCATTCAAGTCACCAAGGAGATGGGACTGCACAGAGCATCAGTAGTCAGAATGACATTCTTGGGGTCTCTCAAGACGGGTAGGGTAGGGGTGGCATCATCCCCCCCATGTCACAGTGGAGGAAGTTGAGGCACAGCCAGACCATGTCTTGCCCTGTGGGCACAGCTGGCTCCAGTTTGCCCATTAGCTAGGACTGGCACAGCCAGGGGCCAGTCCCTGCAGAGCGTGCCCAGGGCTGCACCACACAGTGAGGGACACAGTGCACTTCATCCTTTTCCTGGTCTGTGCCTTGACTGGCTTCCTGTGCAGATAGAATGCTGTTATGCATGTGTCCCCTCGACATCTATATGCTGAAGGCCTAACTCCAGGACCACAGGATGTGATCTTATTGGAAACAGCTCCACTGCAGATGTCATTCGTTAGCTCAAGATGACACCGAAATAGAATAGGACTCTAATCCAACGCGACCGATGTCCCTACAAAAAGGGGACGTTTGGACACAGACACACACACAAGGAGAAGGCCGTGCGAACATGGAGGCAGAGAGAGGTGATGCGTCCACGAGCCGAAGAACGCCAAAGATGCCACCGACCCCCAGGAGCTCGGAGAGGCCTGGACACATTCTCACTCGCAGCCTCAGAAGGAACTCCCCACTTCGCCTGGTCCCGGACTTCCAGCGAACATTGTGCTTCTCTTCTAAACCACCTGGTTTGGGGAGCTTTGTTACGACAGCACTAGTCAATGAATGCGGGTGAGGAACGGTGGTGTCTGGGGTCAGGCTACCTCTAAAACCAACATCGAAGCCCCTTCCTGCTCTGCTCTATTCTATATTTTGTGGTTCAGACAAAAGGTAAACCTGGGCAATTACAAGTGCCCAAGTCCTCCTCTCTAGACTACCCCTTAGCAAGAAGAAGAAAACAGCCTTCTTTCTTCTCAGAATCCTAACCTACTTTGTTCTCAGCAGAAACAATATTCTGCCTAATTCTCCAAAATGTCCCAAGGCAAGACAAGCACCACCTTGTCTTCTGGGCGCAGGTGGGACCATGTGCAGAGATCTCTCTCCCACACCAACTTGGAGACCCGGCGTCTCGCTAACTTCCCGCTTAGTCCACGGAGGCTGAAGTTACAGATGATGATCAAGAGCAGAAGTATTAGCTCGTCCACTGGGGAGCGAGGGGCACAGAGCACCAGTGGGACTCCAGGCCTATCTTTCAGGCATCCTCGCTGCCCAGTGACACCAACGTCCTCTCAGACTAGGGGAGCCCTCACAGAACATGCTGCCATCCCCTGAGTCCTGGCGGCTGCCCCTAGAGATGGTGCTTTGGGCACAGTGGTGACTGGGGGCTGAGTCAACCCGCATTTATTTCTTCTGTCCGTTTGCTCTTGTTACGTGTTTTGGTCCTTAATCCTTCTCGCTTTGGAGTTTACTCAGTTCACTGAGAGAGGTGCAGCCTCACTGTCCCCCACAGGGTCCTACTGTTTACACACGGTCTGGGCCATTTTCCCTCTACTGAGCATTACTTAATACATCGATTAGGATGTAAGGTTTTTAGGCAGAGAACCACACATTTATTCTCCCCCTCCCACGGTTTAGTGACTTCCGTGTAGAAGTCACCCAGTAAAGATCACTGGGGGCTGAGTCAACCCGCATTTATTTCTTCTGTCCGTTTGCTCTTGTTACGTGTTTTGGTCCTTAATCCTTCTCGCTTTGGAGTTTACTCAGTTCACTGAGAGAGGTGGCCCTCTCCTGACTTAGACCAACTGTGGGAGTGTCCAATGCAGCTCACCCCACTAACCCAGGGAAACAGGGACTCTGAGTCCTCCGGGTCCAGGAGCTTCCTCAGAAGTGTTCGGTCCATTTCTTTCATGAGAGGTCATGGGGCTTGTCCTTCATCGCACGGCCAGTGAGACGGCAGAAAAGGCCTGGATGCCAGATGTTCTGCTTTGAAGTGAGACTGTATGTCACAGAGGTGAAGACGTCATCTGCATGGCCAGTGTGGGGTGAGGGGTGTCATGTCTCATATTGTTCCGGAAGCTTCCTTCATTGGCCCTGGACACTCTGGTTTGACATTGACACACTTCCAGGTAAGTCCAGACACCTTTGTCCTCATGGGCAGCTGGAAGAGGGACACCTCCTACACAGCAGGGTCACAGGAGTCTGTTCAACCCCAGAACTGCTGAGACGTTGTCTAGGGAGTGACTTCCTTTTAAGTGTCACGTGTATCTGTTCTTACGGTCCCCACTCATCTCCAAGGCTCCTTAGGCAGGCCCTTCTACCCCGCCCCTTTCAACAGTTACTTCACAGATTCATAATTCAGTTAGATTCTTTTGTCTTATTTGGCATTCTATCCCAGAATTTCCCATTCTCTTAAATTTGTAGACATTTTAAAATTTCCTAAAGTGAGAACTTGAGAGACTGACTTGAGATCTTTCTCTTCTCCTAGCATATGCACATGGCACTATAAATCCCCGCTGTCCTCCTGTCACTGTAGATGGCCTTGCATTTTCTAAAATCGTATGTAAACAAATCACACAGTGGTGTGTTTTCCTCTGGCTCCGGCATAACCACATCCAGACTTGTCTGTGTCCCTGTGTGTATCAGCAGTTCAATCCTTCTCGTTCTCGGTTCCGTCCTACGGATGTGCCACTGTTGGGTTATCCGTTCACATGTCGCTGCGCCTTTGTGTTGTCTCCAGTTTGGAGCTGCTGTCACCATCTATGCGAGAGTGTTGGTGTGGACATGACTTTCGCTTTCTCTTGGGTAGAGAGCTAGGACTGCAGTGGCTGGGTCACGTGGCAAGTGTATGTTGAACTTGTAAGAAGTTGGCTGTCTGTTTTCCAAAGCAGATGCACCATGTGGCATTCCCACCAGCAGTGTGTAAAGTTCCAGCCCCATAGATTTCAGTTTGGATGGTATTTCTCATTTTAAATGTTCTAGCAAGTGTGCAGTGGGATTCATTGTTTAAATTTGCATTTACCTAATTACTAATGATGTTGTGATCATTTGACACCCATACATCTTCATTGGTGACGTATACGCTCGATTCTTTTTCTCATTTATGAAATTAGGCTTTTATTCTATTGTTTATTTTGAGAGGTTTTTTTTGTTTTTTGTTTTTTTTTAAATATTCTGGATTCAAGTTCGTTATCAGATGTATGATCTACAAATATGCTCTCCTAGCTTATCACCCTCTCAACGGGGTCTCTCCCGGAGCAGAAGTTCTTAAATGCTATGGAGTCCGATTTTACTAGATGTTTTCACGTCACGCCTTTGTCGTCATATCGCAAAAGGCTTGGCTAACCCAGAGTTTCTGCTTCAGTTTGAGCATCTCTGATCTCCCCTGCTGCCTAGGGTTTTCTCCTGCATTTTATTCTAGATCTTGCATCGTTACAGGTTCCAAAATTAGGCCTATGGTTCATTCTGAGTTACTTTACTTCTTGTGTGGGGTGAGAGGTGTTTATCCAAGTTCGATTTTTTAAGCGGGTAAACCTTCAACTGTTCCAGCCCCATTTGTTCGGTCTCCTTTTTCTACTGAACTATTTGTCTGGGCCTCTGTTGAAAATTGGTTATCCAAGTAGGTCCACTTCTGAAACACAAAACATTTTATTTCATTGATCTCTTTGTCCATCTGTATGCTGGAACGACACCGTCTTATTTTCGCAACTTTATAGTACGATCTGAAATCA